ACCCCCCAGGGAGGATGGCCATGCCACAATCCCTTCTCCTCCATTCTCCTCTCAGGATCTTGGGCACGCATGCACACGTGCCCAGCATGAGTTTAAGCCTGGGACTCGAACCGTGGTCAGCTACATGAGAGTCCAGCGACATAGCCATTATGCCAACTGCTGGCCCCAATTTATTATTTTTTATCAATTTTAATTATTATTTACACATTTAATCACTATAGATCCTTTAGATTTTAAAGAGACTTTACCCAGCATGATATATGCCTCAGTCCGGCCCAGCTGAAAATACTATACACGTCCTCATCAACAAATAGCAAAACATATCTATGTCCCACAAAAGTCTTGCCTCTCTATTTTTCCCCAAATTCCCTTTCCTATGCTCTTCCCCTCTTACATTCCCCTTCCACTTTCTCTAGTGCCTATAATAATTTTTAATGCTTGTATGTCCTCCAGTCTTCCAGTCTCTGCTAGAGTGTGGACAGTAGGTATATGTTATAGTGGAGACATACAATGTCTCTCTTTCATAGCCTGACTTACTTCACTCAGCAACAAATCTTCTATGTTTGTCCACTTTCTATCAAATTCCAGGGCCTCGTTTTTTTATGACTGAATAGTATGGCATATATGTGCTACATTTTTTCAATCCATTCATCTGTTTGTGGACATTTGAGCCAAATTTATTATTATTATTTAAGAATTATGTAACTTTATTTATTTACCTATTTACTTTAATTTGATCAGAGAGGAACAGAGTGAGAGAGAAAGAGCAAGAAAGCAAGCTGCGAAGCCCAGGCCCTGAACCATGGTCACCATGTGGGAGTCCAGCACCCTTAACCCCCATGCTACCTGCCAGCCCCTATTATTACTATTTTAAAAATTTGCTATAGAGCATATGTGTTCAGGAGTGACAAAGAGACAGAAAAAGAAAAAGAGAGAGAGAGAAAATGAGAAAGCAAGCCATCAGGTCTAGGACTCAAACCATGGTGGGCCATATGGGAGTCCAACGCCTTAACTACCACACTACCTGCTAGCCCCCAACTGCTCAAGAAATACTAATTGAAAGCCAGCTCCATGTTGCAATGATAATGCATTGCTCAAGAGAAGCCAGATCCTACATGGAACTGCGGTTCAAACTCCCAGTCCAGTCTGCCTAAAGTACACCGGACACACACATATGCACCTATATCTGACAGGCTGGAGGATCTGACCAGATCTGGAAGAATGCTCTTCTCTCTTTCTCTTTCTCTCTCATTCTCACATGTATGCACACATACTCTATCATGAATAAAGAAAAAAAAATATTTCAGGGATCAGCAGTTAGTGTAATGGCTATGTCGCTGGACTCCCACGTAGTCGACCGCGGTTCGCATCCTGGACCCGGTGGCTTAAAACTCACACTGGGCATGTGTATGTGCGTGCCCAAAATCCCAAGAGGAGACTGGAGAAGGAATTGTAGTATGGCCATCCACCTGGGGGGTGAGTTCTTGCTTTCTGTCTCTCTTTGTCTCTTTCTGTCTCTCTGATAAGTACATGCACCCTATACCAAAACAATCTCTCTAAAAAAATTAAAAATATTTAGGGGACCAGCAGGTGGTGCGGTGGTTAAGGTGCTGGACACTCCCACATGGCCAACCAGGGTTCAAGTCCTGAATCTGGTGGCTTGCTTTCTTACTTCCTCTTTTTCTCACTCTCAACCTCTGTCTCTCTCTGGTCAAATTAAAAAATAAATGAATAAATAAAATAAAATAAATAATTTAAAAATAAATAAATAAAAAATATTTTAAAAATGAGTTCAATGAATAAAAAGCAGCAGTCTTCCTGTTCCCTCCTCAAGGCCTTGTGGGCTTTGCAAACACTGTTCCCTCTGCCTGGAATACTTTTCCCCTTCCCTGCTACCCTGCGTTTCCATAACTGGCTCCTGCTCAACCTACAGTCGTGACTTAAATGAAACTTCTTTTCTGGCTTCTCAAAATCTTGGTTAAAGTCCATAAGACCATACTCCCTTGGCATCCTACACGTCTCCATCCTAAATCTATTTCTCTTATTTGTTTTCCCTGCCGGATCATAAAGTTCCAATGAAAGTCATTGTTATAATTCTTGGCATAGTGTCTGGCATATACAGTTGTCCACTAACTATTCACTGGATGGAGGGATGGAGAGATGGAGAGATGATGGCTAGGTGGATGGAAGAACCGATGGACGAGTGACAGAAGGACCAATTAATATGGAGCAGTTGGACATTCATCTGACTACCACCAGAGGGCAGCACCTCATAATCCAACCACCCCACCTTGGGTGGAAATGCCAGATGACAGGTCCCCTAGTCCCCAACTCCAGCCCCATGACTCAGATGGGAGGGCAGACCACAGAGGAGATGCAGCACCCACACAGCCCCTGCTAGCCCCAGGGGCAATTCTGGGTAGAAAGAAGCTGCAGGGGGAGGCCTAGCACGTACCCAGCATGCCAATGCCCAGCATGAAGGCGTCCATCCCATAGGGCATGACTCGAGACCTCCCTCGGGCTGAGCCTGTTGGCGACATCACTTCCTTTGGCTGCGCTTTCTTACATTCCACCTGCAACGAGACCTGGCGGTGACCTACAGACCAAGGGTCACCATCTCTCCTACTCCCTATCAGGCTTCTTTATAATTAACTCCATAGTTACTATTTGTACAACACTCACTCTGTAAAGAGCTTTGCATGCCATCGTTCTCCGAAAGCTGACACTTACATGATGGAGTGCCACCAGTGCCACTTCCATTTCACAAATGCAGGAACTGAGACTCAGAAACGGGCGTCACTGCCCAACTATCCGACAGTTGACACAACCTTGCCACCACCCCCGGACCCCTCGTCTAGATTTCCAGAGGATGAGGGAAGCCACCCTGCCCTATGGACTGTGAGGCCCTTCTACCTGCCTTTAGGACCTCCGCACTCCCCAGGCTGCCTCTACACCTCCACCCCCATCCGATCCCAACTCACCATTTTGTTGTTGATTTCATGGAAGTGGATCTCACACACTTTCTCCACAATGTCCTCGCTCTCAAACGTGACAAAGCCGAACCCTAGAAGTAGAGAAAAGGCAGAGTCCAATCAGGACTTGCGATCAAAACCTGGCCCTGGATCGTACCAATAGCAACACTCCCCGCTCTGGAAGTTCATGAGGTTCTCTGCAGCCCTGGACCAGCTCAACTACCTACCGAGACAGGGTTCCATGTCCCAAATTACAGATGAGAAAACCAAGGCTCAGTGAAGGGAAACGACTTGCCCAAGGTCACGTGGCAAGTTAGAAAGTGGCAGAGCTATGATAAGAACACTCAGGGGCCAGCAGATGTTGGTGGCTGGGGCACTGGAGTCCCACATGGTCGATGGCGGTTCGAATCTCAGACCTGGCAACTTGCTTTCTCACTTTCCCTTTCTCTCTCTCTCTGTGGTCAAATTTAAAATAATAATAATAGTAATAATAATAATAAATACAATTAAATAAATAATTCTTTTCTTAAAAAGAATACACCCAACATGCCTTTTCACATCCTCAGATGTTTTCCAAAGAGGAATGAAAGAACATGTACAAACACTCATTTAAATGTGCACAATGGTGTACATGCTCTAACATATGGTTTTGTTTTTTAATTTGCCAGAGAGAGGAGGAAGCACCCTCCCCATGGGAAATGATCATGCCACAATCCCTTCACCTCCATTTCGCTATCCTTTTGGGATCTGGGGAACACACAATGTTTTTTTGGTTTTTGTTTTTAAGAATTATTTATTTAACTTTACTTATTATTGTTGTTATTATTTTTTCATTTGCCATAGGGCATGTGCACCCACCAGAGGGAGACAGAGAGAAAGAGAGAGGGAAAGTGAAAAAGCAAGCCACAAGGTCTGGGACTCGAACCGTAATCAGCCATGTGGGAGTCCAGCAACCCAACCATCATGCCACCTGCTGGCCCCAACACAGTGTTTTTTAAGCTGCTAGAATTTGAACCACATAATCAACCATGCGGGATCCATCTCCCTTAACCAACAGGCCACAGGCCCAGTCCCGAGCCTGTTTTTGCACAGACACACAAAAACATAGATGTATGAACACTGTGCACAGTCCCGACATATCACGCAAACACAAACATTCAGATGCAGAAACCCTCACGTGCACAGAAACACACAGACACAAACAGCACATACCCAATTCCCCCCAAAAGGCTTAAAGGCTCAGAGTCCTGAAACCACTGGAGAAACAGCCAGTCTCCTCCAAGAAGTGCCCCAGGGGCTGACATGGGATTTTCTCAGAAGGCAAAGCCCTTCCGAGAAAAACCACCGGCAGTGCACGCAGTGTTGCCCAGATGCTCACAGGTTCAATGGCAAGGGCACTGGGGGGCTGGGCTCAGCTCTGGGGGAGGGGGCTGGGTGGCACAAGCAGACTGCCTGGGGCAGTGGAGTCAGCCTGACCCTGGGGCGGCCTGGCCCACGCTCAGGTTACCAGAGACAAGGTAAACCCTAGCAGATGCAGACCCCAGCTACTAGGGCTAGGGCTAGGGCTAGGGCGGGGTGGAGGGTTCAGTGGTGGGGCGGCTGCTCCTCTCGGGTGTCTGCAATTCGGCAAGTTTCTAGCACAGGAAACAGCGGGACAAAAGCCTTCTGTATGGCCAGACCCGGGAGAGGATGCAGATCCTCAGGGATAGGATGTCAGGAGGCGAGATGAAAGGGCAGCTGTGACCTGCAGCCCCCTGGCTGACCACAGGCCCCACTGGCCCAGCCCGGGAAGGGGGAGGGGCCACACTCACCTCGGTGCCGGTTGGTGGTTTTGTCAAACATCAACATGGCATCATCCACCTGAAACAGAGCCCACCATGGAGGACCTGCCAGACGCAATCCACCTCCCCCCTTGCCCACTGGACTAACGTAAACCTGCTCCCTGAGCAGGGGACAACTGTCCATGCACAACTCCACTCCTATTCAACCACCAGGTTCTCAGTGGGCCAGCCCGCGTTTATTAGCTCCCAATAGATATCGGGCACTTGTGACCCATCATCCTCCCTGCCTCGTAAGATCCCCCTTGTGTACATAGGGAAATGGAGCTCAGAGAGGTGAAGTTGCCTCCCCAAGGTCACGCAGCAAGTCCTAGACCAAGCCAGGGAGGAGGAGGCATAGAGTGGGTGCTAGAGAAGGAAATATGGGAGCAAGACTGAGATGGAGAAGCAAAGCCTCTGCAAAAGGCCAGGCGGACAGCGGCCAGACTCAACTCCCCTCTCCCGGTACAGATCTTCTCCTCTAATTGAGGTTTCCTTTCGCTAGAGGCTGTAATTAAAGCAAGCAGAGTTCAGGGCCTGGCCTGCTTGCCTCCCACTGACTGGGGGAGGGGAAAGGAAGGAGCAGGGTCTACCCTCTCCATCCTCTCTTGAACCCCACTCTTCTCTTCCTGCCAGTCCCTCTGGGCACCCTCTTAGACACTGACAGTCAAAGGCCTTAACTTCTCTCTGCAGTCCCACCTCCTTCCCTTGGCCTGCCTCTGGCGCCTCCTCCTTGCCCTCTCTGCTAAGGTCTGATTCGCCCTTGGTGGAAGTCAGGTGCTGCCTATACCTCTCCCTGGCCTACTCCAGCCCCTGAACCTCCCCCAAATGACCAGGCATCCAAAGGAGAAAAGAAAGCTCCTCGGACCATGGGGCACAGCCTCTCCCTCACTCCTCTTCCCTCTATTTCCAAGCCCATCATCTGCCCTCTAAGGGGCTTCCTCTACCTCATTAAAGTGGAAAGGGCAGGACCAGCAGATGGTCCATGCGCGGTTTGAGTCCCAGATCCCAGACCCAGTGACTTAAAACTCACACCAGGCATGTGTGTGTGTGTGTGTGTGTGTGTGTGTGCGCGCGCGCGCATGTGTGTGTCCAAGATCCTGAGAGGAGAATGGAGGAGAAGGCTTTGCGGTGTGGCCATCCTCCCTGGGGGGTGATTTCTCACTTTCTGTCTCTCTGGTGAACACATACGCCCCATAACAAAAATCACCCCCCCGGGGCTTCCTCTACCTCATTAAAGTGGAAAGGGCAGGACCAGCAGATGGTCCATGCGCGGTTTGAGTCCCAGATCCCAGACCCAGTGACTTAAAACTCACACCAGGCATGTGTGTGTGTGTGTGTGTGTGTGTGTGCGCGCGCGCGCATGTGTGTGTCCAAGATCCTGAGAGGAGAATGGAGGAGAAGGCTTTGCGGTGTGGCCATCCTCCCTGGGGGGTGATTTCTCACTTTCTGTCTCTCTGGTGAACACATACGCCCCATAACAAAAATCACCCCCCCCCAAAAAAAAAGAAGGAAAAAAAAGTGGAAAAGGTAGATCCTGACTAGGGTGGTCTTCCAGCTCTCTCCAGGCAGCAGGCCCAACTGGTGTCTGACTCCCCACTGGGTCCCTTCCCAGGGAGCTTCCTGCAGTGGGAACCCTGCTATGGAGCGCCCACTCGCTCTCATGCCTGTGGACTCACTCTGAGTCCCATTCCCAAGCGGGCTGGACAGCCCAAAGTGGACCGTCCCTACAAGGGCAGCACATCTCACTCGCTTCACCAAAGGACAAGATAGACAGAAAGATGTGATCAAAGCAAGGGCTTTAAGTAGGACAGGCCTGAGCAGGACAGCTGGACCCCCCATGTGCTGTCTGAACGACCCTGGCTGAGTGGATCTGTGTCTCTATGACTTCGGGTCCTCCTCTGTGCAATGGGCAGAACCGTGTCCATCTCAAGGGAGGAGTTAAAGGAGACCGTGCAAGGAACAGCCGTAACGCCCAGCACCTGGGACACAGGAAGTGCTTCATGAAGAGCAGCTATTATTATCTTTACCCTGGAGAAGGTCACATGGAGGCCTGAGCCACTCCACTGGTTTGAAGGTTCGGTGAGGAGAGCGTCTGTGTCCTTTAGGCCATGACCTCCATCCTCCTTATGCCCAGTAATTACTTCTGAATGAACGAATGAATGGAAGACCAGCCACACCCATCTCCCTCATCCCACAGCTGAGTTCCTGCCTGATCCACAGCCCATTTGGCCCAGTTCTGCACCCTCTGGCCGCCGGGTCCCACTCTGCCATGCCTGGTCCCTTCTACCCTTCGCCCTGGGCCTTGGCTGGACAGACCCCTAGTGGGGCAGTGGGGTTGAGGCCAGGGCAGGGCCAAGGAAAGTGGCTGGGGGTCCGGGGTACCCCCACCGGTGTCCCCTCCCGGGGCCAGCTGAGGAGAGGGAGGCTCCCGGCCCAGTGTCCTTAATAGGCTTTGGTCTCCATGGGAACCCGAGGGCAGGGGGGATCCGGCAGGGGGGAGGGGAGGCGGCCGAGGCCCGCTGACCAGTGGGAGCCGCCAAATTCGGCGGCCGCTAAGCCTGAGTGGCAGCCATGGCGGCTGACCATTGTTCCCCCCTCGGCGGCGGCCCCTCGATCCGGGCGGGGGGCCCCCCGCCGCGGGGCCCTTGGCATTCCCGGCTGTCCCCCTCGCTCCCTGGCAGCCTATTCTCCGGCTCCCCCTGGCCTCCCCGGGCCGGTTTCACATGCCAACGCCGATTTAGGCCCGAACAAAAGACGCGGCCGCTGACGGCTTCTCCTGGGGCCCGGTTGCCATGGCAACGCCGGCCCCGGGGGCAGGCGGCCTCCAATCACAGCTGCTGGATCAGATTAGTGCGAGCTCTAATGCTCGGCGCTCAGACACAAAGACACCCCGCCGGAGCCGAGCCGGGCCTGCTGCTTCCCAGGAGCGCCCTTCCCTCTGGGGCCCAGGCCCGACCTGCCCTCGGTCCCAGACCTAGGTCCCCACGGAGACGCCTGAGACGAGGCCTCTGGGCCACCACCCTGCGCAGCGGCTGGCCTAGACACCCTCCAACCAGGCAGTCCCCAGCTCACGGCCGTCTCCCAAACCTCGTCCCCTTTTGCCTGCCGGGTGAACTGGTAATGCCCAGATGGGAAAACAGACACCCAGCCTCTCACCTGCCTCACCTAAGAGAGAAAGGGCAGGGAGCCCCCACTCTGCACAGAGCAGCCCTCCTGCACCCCAAGACTCAAACTCGGGGTCCTTCTTGCCATCTCCCTATGATACTTGAAGTTTATATGGCTCACCTTTCGGGGACACCCTATTGTCTGATATGGCCATACCTCCGACTTTTCTCACAGCCTGCCTCTTCCCAGGCCCAGAAATGAAAGCTCGCAGGCTGTGCCCCAGAGCTGTGCATAAAACCTCTGGGCTTGATAAGGAATGTGGGGGTGCTCTCTTCAGTTCCCCCCATACTGTGGCGATCAGCAGTCCCCCAGCTCCACACCTGTGCAAGCAGGGTGCTGAGTGCAACTGGGTGTCATGTTTATTGCATCCTTATTATCCTCACCAGGAAGGGGTTGGAGGAAGGTACAACAGCCTGCCCGTGGCCTGGACAGGTGCAAACTCCCAGGAGGCCAAGGGTGACTGGATTGAACTGGAACGCAGTTCAGGAGCGCAGCAGCCTCCCTCGGGAGAATGAAGATAAGCAGGAGAAAAATATGGGGGAAGGGCAACCGCAAGGACAGCTACTGACTGTCTCTCTGGGGATGTCCAGAGTCTGAGGCCCACAGATAGGCCAGGAGCCTGAACAGTGAGTTGGCCTGGCGGCACCCGCAGAAGGACTCGGCCCCCATTCCACCTTTTGCAAGAATTGAAACGACTGGGCTGATCCTTGCTTGCTACCAACCCAGGCTATCGCGCTTTCAGAGCCCCAGCCGGCACTCCCCACCCCTGTTTAGACCCACCTTCCCGAACTGCTCAAAATACTGCTTCACATCGTCCACCGTGGTGTTCACTGACAGCCCCCCCACAAAGATCTTCTTCGTTCGAGTCACCATCTGTTAGGGGAGGGAATGAGAAAGTGGGCATCTGAGTCCTGTGGCCTACCACCACCAGCAGGGGCTCGAGCCCCCCGCCAGGATGCCAGCTGACAAGCTCTCTGTGGCCCCAGCCTCTCAGAAGGGCCCCCCCCTCAAGCTTCCTCTTGGACCCCTGCCTCTAGGCCTGTCACTGGGCAGCTGTGCACCCCACACCCTGGCTGGCTCTGCTGTGCCTCCCTCCTGCCTCCCTCCCTGGGGTCTGTGTCCAGAAAATGCCTTCCCTAAGGTGTAACATAGGGAAGGAGGTAGACCAGTGACCAGATCCACAGCCTAATTCGAAGACCCCACCAGCTCTCCTGGGAGACACCAGGCTCATCACAGAGTCGCCCTGAACTCAGTGCAGACATATTCCTTGTCAACCTCTTCCCAACCCAACCTCTGGCAGCCCTGTGGCCCCAGCCCTGTTTTAGGAAGAACACATGGTCCTAATTACCCCAGGAGCGCATGGCTAATCCGCGGCAATTCCCAGCCCCATCCTAACACTAAAGCACCTTCTGTCACCAAACTGCTTAATGGAATTAACCCAATTCCGACCATGTGCTCCCTGGTGCGGCTTCCTCCGAATACCTGCTCCATAATTGCTTTCAGGCCCTCTGCTGGACCCCTTCCAGAGATGCCCTTTCCTGTCTCCTAAACCTTTCCTCTCCCTTCACCCTGGCAGGAGCTGGTGAGCTTGGTGAACTTCACGGCCTCAGAATCTTAAAGCAGTACTAGTTCATCACCCTCCTTACAAAGGGAGAAACAGAACTCTCCTGGAGAGGGACCTAGCCCGAGCACCCAGGATAAGTCGGCAAACCCAGGGGTCCTGACTGTACCGTAACCAGTCTTCCCTCCTGTCCCCTATATCCAGTGGCTTGAATATCAAGATCTGGCTGGCTGACCTGAAGCCAGGGATAGAATCTTAGGGCCCTGTCCTGCACGGTGAGTTTTAAGTGCTACACTGCTCCTCTGCCCAGAAACCCGTTTTCCGCACATCCAGTCCCTTTCCCCAGAAGAATTTGCACCAGGGAGAGAGGACACTTAAAGCCATAGACACCTAAGTTCAAGGACAACAGATGACAGACTCCATGGTCCCCCACACACACACCCGCAAGCCCAACACATGTCACCCAGAGGTAGGGTGACTGGGGTCAGAGGTAGCTCCTTGGCCTAATGCTAGTTCAACCTCAGGGGGTAAGTCTGTCCTGTATTTGACCCACAGAGGCCCTGGGCACACAGGAGGTGATCTGGGAGGTCAGAATTAGATTCAGGGTCCCAAACTCTGCTGGCTGCAAACACAGGGCAATACATTCCTTGAGCAGGTCCCCTCTCACCCACCACATGCAGCACCCTCTCCAGTCCACCCCAAACCACAGATGGAAGAAGGGTGCACAGTATGTCTTCAATTCACAGAGCAAGGACATCAAGAATCCCCTCCTCCCACTCCAGCCCATTTCAGGAACAGTCCAGAGGTTCCACCTGCATCTCCCACAGAAGGGAATGCTGCGAACTCCAGTGCCCCGAGTTGTCCCTGGTCACAGAGCTCCTCCCAGACACAGATGCACTAACCTTAGGCTGTGCTCGCCGAGGGAAGGCCACCTTGGGATCAATCTGAAAGAGAAGGGATAGGTAAGAGGGGTTTTAGTTATCACACTGCAGATGGGCGGCCCCCACAGTCTCTGGCAGGAAAGCCTAGTGGCTAAAGCATTTAGGCCCTAAAATCAAGCCGCTGGGATCAAATCCCACTTCACCACTCACACCCAGGTGTGAGACTGCAGGGAACTGATTTAACCTCGGTGAACCTCAAGGTCAAGCTCACCTGTAAAATGGGCAAATAATAACACCCACCTCCAAGTGTCATCTGCAGACTGAGATAATGCATATAAAACCTCTGCATAGTGTCTAGCTCACAGCAAGCACACAAAAGAAAAAAAAAAAAAAGAGTGAGCCCAGTCTTACCAACGTCAGGTAAATACAGGACCTTCCTAGCTTAACTGACTTTACGCGGATCCCTGTCTCGCGAAGGCATGCTGGAAGCCTGATGAATAGAAAATACCCTGTCCGAAGCAGGCTTACAAGATGAGGGTTCAAGACCACCAACGCTATCCACATCTCATAGCCCGTCTGGAGGCTGGGAGCCACAGAGCTCCCTGATGACACAGCGAGGCTCAGGGTGAAGCACAGTGCAGTCTGGTGATGTGAAAAGGGGAACGGGACTCAGACACTTTGGGCTGCTTGCCAAACCTGTGATCTTAGGGACTCGCTTGACCTCTCTGAGCCTCAGTTCCCGCATCTGCAAAGTGGGGATGTCACACCCACTTTTCCCAGGGGCAGCTGCAGGGAATCAAAAACGAGATAATGCGGGTGAAAGCGGCCTTTGTGAACTATCCTTCATTGCACAAACAAAGGTGCTATTACCAGCAGGGCCACCTTTGCCCTCGGCTGGGAACAAACAGAGGGGAAAATCAAGATGCACCTGGGTGCTCCTGGGTACTCTAGCCGCACTGACAAACAGCACCAGACAGGGTGTGCAACCCAGTGATCGGCCCAGAAGAGTGAGCCCAGTCTTACTCAACGTCAGGTAAATACAGGACCTTCCTAGCTTAACTGACTTTACGCGGATCCCTGTCTCGCGAAGGCATGCTGGAAGCCTGATGAATAGAAAATACCCTGTCCGAAGCAGGCTTACAAGATGAGGGTTCAAGACCACCAACGCTATCCACATCTCATAGCCCGTCTGGAGGCTGGGAGCCACAGAGCTCCCTGATGACACAGCGAGGCTCAGGGTGAAGCACAGTGCAGTCTGGTGATGTGAAAAGGGGAACGGGACTCAGACACTTTGGGCTGCTTGCCAAACCTGTGATCTTAGGGACTCGCTTGACCTCTCTGAGCCTCAGTTCCCGCATCTGCAAAGTGGGGATGTCACACCCACTTTTCCCAGGGGCAGCTGCAGGGAATCAAAAACGAGATAATGCGGGTGAAAGCGGCCTTTGTGAACTATCCTTCATTGCACAAACAAAGGTGCTATTACCAGCAGGGCCACCTTTGCCCTCGGCTGGGAACAAACAGAGGGGAAAATCAAGATGCACCTGGGTGCTCCTGGGTACTCTAGCCGCACTGACAAACAGCACCAGACAGGGTGTGCAACCCAGTGATCGGCCCAGAACCTATGAGGCGGGGTCCTGCCAGTGTCTTGTCACCCACATGGGTGGACATCATTCGGAAGTTCACCAGCCAATCACGGGAAGGATCTGTCTTTTCCCAAAGTTCCTACTGTTTAAAACTCAGCCTCGTTCTAGGCAACTGGCTCTGGCTTCTCTCCGCTTGAATGGCACGAAGCAGCAACCAGCCTCCTACAAGTTCCCCCACTGGAATCTGCCCAGAGTAGGAGCTTCCAAAAGCCACGCTAGGGGCAATCTCTTCTCTTCTCCAAAGTCCCACTGGGCTCCAGGGAAAATATCACCGCTGCCCACTGCCTCTGTCTGAAGTTTGGATTTCATATCTCTCTAAACACTTTCGTCTTTCAAATTCTCCTGGAAGCAGCCTCTCCAGCCACCAACGTACCTCTGACAATCCCCCCACGCGGACCCTGACGGGGAGACGGTACCCAGGCCATACTCCCTCAGTCAATCCCTGACACACCCAACCTCCACTCTGACTCACAGCTGGCAACATAAATAAAACCCAACAAGTAAATAAAAGGTGAAAGTCAGAACCCAAAATAGACTCCCCACAATAATCCTCCCTCCCACCCCTTTTCCCAGGCGGGAGGACGCCATAGACAAAGCCCTTGCCCTTTGCGAGCCTCGATCTCCTAAGATCTCCTAAGGATACCATCTCCCTCTCCTTTGCACTTATCACTCTTCCACTCCTCCACCCCACAAGTCCTAGCCCCTAAGTCTCAGCTTCCTGAGCGACGCAGAAGTCATCAGTGCATTCTGAGGACAGGGCATGGTAGGAGAGCAGGCAGCTTGATGGCAGATAATCACCAAAAACAATAGGCCACTGTCTCTCCATGCCCAGCTTGGGTCACTCAGGCTGGGCCAAGAAGATCCTTTCAGAGCCGGCAAAGTTGAGGCCTGGCCTCATTTGCTCATTACCGCAAGCAGGAGTGGGAGCCACTGGGCAGAGATAACAGGAGCTGGGGACAGGCGGTAATTTAACAAATTCTTGGGCACAACCAGCTATTGTTGCAGGTAAACAGGAGCCAGGGACTGACCCAAGCAGAGAGGCCCAGGGCTGAGGGAGAGGAGGGGAGTGTGGAGAGAGGGGGAGAGTACACTGTCCCGGCCCCCTGGCAGACAGACACCCCCATCACAGAGTAACCCTTCCAGTGACTTTCTCCTGGTCTCGCTACCCTTGGGCTGGCCTCAGCAAGCGCCCCCTGCAGGGTCCCAGACACTGGGATGCAGTGGGACAGCAGCAAATGCTTCCAGGAGTTGGAATAACAAGCAAGCAGCATCTCTTAAGACCTCATCTACACAAGGGCCATTTAGCCCCTTTCTCATAAAGCCCCTGGGTGGGCAAAGCAGGTCTCTGTCTTCCACACAAAGCCAGGAGCTCATTGACCAAAAGTGAGGGAGGAGAGCAAGAGGGAGGGAAAGGGATGTGGGATGCTCTGCCATTGGTCTGAAATGGAGGGGGGTGTCACAGAGCCAAAGACTCGTTAGAGTTCAGAGTAGCCACCGGGTGGGTCACTGCAGCCCTGACTCACCCCATTCGGGCTAGGGGAGGGACCCAGCCCCACCCCAAGCTCTGCTCTGAGGCCTGCAGAGGAGTACTGAGAGGTAGGGGTGGGAGCTGCGGTTCCCAGACCAGTGCTGGGGGAGGGGCGTGGAGCATCTCAATTCAGGCCCGGATTTTCTCCTCCCTCTCCCCCCAAGTCCGGTGACAAAGTTTCAAGAGCACAGTAGCCCTCTTCTCAGAAAACTCCCTCCCTCCCTCCAGGACCCTGTCCAACTGTCCCCAGGGAGACTCCTGACCCTCTCCTCCGGCAGCCTCCCTCTCCCAGAGGAACCCCCCACCCCAGCCCCGCAGGCCACTCACTGTTTTGGAGTCGAGCTCGTGCCGCGATTGCGCCAGCACTTTATCCACCCCCGCCTGGTCCATGAAAGTGACGAAGCCGAAACCCCTGTGCGCCGTAGTGAGCGAAAGGCAGATGGTTACCAGGCAGTGAGTGGCGGGGGGAGGGGGGGGAGCCGGGAGCAGGAGGAGGGGTGAGGGGCTCACCTGGATCTCTTGGTCAGGGGGTCCCGCATCACCAGACACTCCTTCACATGCCCGAACTGGCCGAAGTATTCGCGCAGCCCTTCTGTAACCACACACCGCCTTCGGACCAGCCCGGGCCCCCGCGCCCTTTCCTCCCTCCCCCGTCTTTTGCCCCTGGTGACCCCGCCGCAGCCCGCCCACC